TTTGGTCTACAAGCTTTGAAATACTACATAAATATAACGTATGTATGTGATAGTACAAATCTGATGATGTCTGCCTATACTTGTACAGAAATTGTGTACCTAAGCCCATGCAAATTTTCCTATGAAGAATTTTATTGTTATCAAAAAAAAATAAAAGCAAAAAAAAAGCTACTTTGCAGAAGAATAAATAAACAAAAGTATTTTAACATAGTTTAAGGCAAAGAAAAGCAGACCATAAACTGTGACTTTTAAAAAAATCTCTATTTTATTTATTTATTTATTTATGCAACTGGGGGTTGAACTCAGACCCTTGCGCTTGCTAGGCAAGCGCTTATTCTACTGAGCCATCTTCCCAGCCCTCTATTTGATTTAAACGAAAAAGAAAAGCAGCACACACACGCACAATTTATATAAACCACAATTCAGACAGTGGTTATCTCTGAGTAGAAAGCTTATGAATGATTTTCTTCTTCCACTTTGTACTCTTTTTTTTTTTTAATGTACTTGGTACATGGTCTCACTACACAGGTCGGACTCCTAGTGATCCTCCTGTTTTCAGCCTTCCCAAGGCTGGCATTATAGGTGTGCACTACCACACCGTGTCTCCATGGCTGGCTCAGTGTGCCTGGGGGTGGGGCCAGTGCAGCATGTGGTACCAGGGATCGAACGCTGGTCCCTGCACTTGCCGAACCATGTGCTTAGTCCACTGAGCTATCTCACCAGCCCTCTTTGTACTCTTTATTTTCCAAAATTTCCACAATAAGCATATGTTACCTTTGTAATGTTTTAAAAAGGACCATATAAGGATGCAATCCATGTAAGATTTCACTGTCCTATTTCCTACATGTTCCTTAAAAAAAGTGATATTTTCTGTATGAACAAGCAAAGCCTCCAAGCATCTGTTGGCATTCCCTCTAGGCATCTAGGATACTGGTGACGTGTGGGTCTGGCTCGCTTCAGGCAGGCAGATCAATCTCTTTCTGAGTGTTTGTGTCCGTAAGTGTGACCTTTTGGGAAGTGGGCATTGATGTGACATGGGTTGAAAGGTGTGAAGCTTCTCCACCTCGCCTCTCAAAGTTTTTTTGCTCACAGCTCAGAGCTTGTAGCTGATGTTCTACCACCAGAGAGCCATTCCTCAGGCTTATGGATTTTTACCCTATTAAAATGCAAATAACCCTAGAGAAGTACACATTAAACTTTACCTGTCACCTGGGTTAAATGAGTATAACATATCATTTTCTGGGAATAGGTTTTAATGAGCATGACATGGGAATTCAGGGGGGATGCAGACAGAGAGACTAACCATGAATGAATATACATAGTGTTGGAGGAGTAACTAATATTCATAATGGTAGTATTTTTATTTATGGTTTATGAGTCACTTAGGAGTATGTTATCACATTTAATCTCAATTAAATCAAATAGAATGGCTATCCTATCACTGAGGCAAGTTAAGTAGACCTGGGACTTTAAAAAATACAGAAGACAAAATCTGCAGCCTTTATAATATTTTTTTTCTACAGCCATTTCTAAAAAACCCGATTCCACTCACTCACTGAGATAATATTCCTTTAACTTATCCTTTTCTTCTTGGCAACTTTTAAGGATGTGTGCTGTTATTCAAATAACTAGACCATACATGAATAATGAGGTAGGGACCAGTCAAGAAAATATGACAACTTCATATTTAATCCATTATTGATGTATAACACAAAGACAAGTGTCTTCTAGGAATTCTTGCTCTAAATGACAGCGATTGCCTGGAGACACATGTGAAAGTATCTGGTCAAACATTTTACAGTATTTGTGAGTGTGTATCTTCTATGAGCACATGGAGAATGGAAAGAAATGAAAAGGACCAGAAAGCAGCAATAAAAGAAAACAGCAGAAGAAAGTACATTTAATTATTTTCTCTCTATAAAATATGTAAATTAAGTAAAAGTGCAATGTAATAGTTAAATACAGAATTTGCAGACACCTTCTTGTGTTTAAATCCTGGCTATACCTTCCACTACTTATATAAATGTGTATCTTGATTTCTTCATTATTAAAATGCATATAATGTTGGGTGCAGTAGCACATGCCTATAATCCCAGCACTTGGGAGACTGAGGTAGGAGGATCACCCAAAGTTCAAGGCCAGCCTGGATTACAAAGTGAAGGAATTTAAGGCCAACCTGAACTACATGGTGAGATCCTGTTTCCAAAAGAAAAAGGAGACATCATAATGGGGCTTATCTCATGGGGTTTCTGAATTTGGACTAAACTAGTTAATATTTTTTAACACTGCCAGGCACAAGCTAATTCTTTACAGTGATGCTTAAACCCTCAGATAGACACATATACGGCCTGAAGTTAATGCTAAGTGATGTTAATACTACAAAGTACAAGTATATAGTAGCTTTTTAAATATCCTCCAAACTCAACATATTGTACTTTTATAACCAAAGAAAAAGTGGTATAAATTAAGAACATTTGAAAAAGATGCTAACCAATGCAATATGTATTGTTATATTAATAGGATGTTCCAATACTTAAAACTTTCATTTAAAACCATCTCTCATGAATTAATTATATAGTCAAGGATAAAAATGGGACAAGAAAAATCAGGGTAAGGAAACACCATTGGCTGAGGTTCCAGCCAATGCTCCAAGGGTTTAATGAATGTTACAAAGAATCACAGATTCACTGTAACATATATTGAATGATCATATCAAACTAATATTAGGTTTATGAAATGAAATGAAATAGTGTAAAGACACAAAAATATTGATCAAATTAGCACTTGAGAATACACTACAGGCAGTAAGTATGCACCAGCTAAAGACTGGACAACATGATCTAATTGACCTTCTTCCTTACCTTCTGAGTTAATTCTCCAAGTTAAATTTCAGGATGATTTATGCCTCTACATCTGCATCTGGCAGAGACGACTGTAATTCAACTCTTAATTCTTAGCAACCAAAATGCAATGAAAAGGTTAAGCAATGAAAGTTGAAAATGACTTACTGGAAAGGAAATGCTGGGAAGCTGGGCCGAAGTCTCTATGGGCTTCATGCAGCTGCCTGACTCGGTCCTCAACAGCCACCTGGGAGGAAAAGGAAAAAAAAATAATGTCTTCTCATCCTATATAATGACCAACAGTGACAACAATGTATCCTTCTTGGGAAATGGTTTGGGTCTCTAAGGTGGTGAACAAGCAAGCAATTAATTAATTAATCCATTACCCTTGTTTTAATGCTTCCCTTACTGGAGATGATTTCCAAAATCCATTTCCATCAAACAAAGGCCAAACACAAAGAATTTCTTCTCTGGCCAGTGCTAAAATGATCATTTTTACCCTCAACTCACCAGCAGCCATGAATACTGCCTTGTTTAGTTCCATCAGAAAGTGCAGACTGTAATTCCTTCCCCAAATGTAAGGGTTGTTGCCATTTGCTATTATGCTAGGTGGCTAAAGGATGTCAGCAACAGCATGTATTTTGTCTTCTAGTCTTAGTTTGTTGTTGTTGACTAAGTTTTAAAAATACTGGTCAATAATTAATGAATCATCAATGTAAAATTATTGTTAAAAATGTTGATTAATATTTAAATGTCAAAGAAGTGAGGGAAAGTTTTACATTTGGGGTAATATAAAATGGGTAGTGAGATAAAGAAATTTTCAGATTTTTTGTTTTCAGCTTACCTGGAAATTCTGAAGCGCACGCCTCAGGCATTACAGAATAAAAATTGTCATTGTTTTCTTTTTCCTATTAGATATTTCTACAATGTATATTTACACAGTGTCCCATAAGCTTGGTGAATTCCAATTTTGGTGGGGAAAATTTTAGGGGTGAAATGGTATATTTTGTCACCTAGCATTTTGCTAACTCAATATCAGTGGTTGCCCCAGGCAAACTAGCTCTATAATTCTGGATCTTGGTTTGCTTGTGCAGAGTCCATTCTACCATTAAGAGTTTTTCAGAGCTTGCTCAAAGTCATCAGAACTAAGGGGGTTTCATTTTTGTTGGTTTTGGAATTTCCAGAAAGTAAACAGATTTTGATGTCCTCAGAAAAGTAGACCAGGTAATCTGGCTAAAAGCCAATTCTGACCTTCTACTATCAGTAAATACTTCATGTAAATATATAGCAATTCTTTTCTTTTCTTTTTTTTCCTTTTTGTGGAACCTGGGATTGAACTCAGGCCCTTCAGCTTGCCAGGGAAGTGGTTATTCTACTGAACCATCTCCCTGGCCCCAAAATATAGTAATCTTTTTGCATATGCTCTTCCTAATCTTGTTCAACTTCGCTTGGACAAAATATTTGGATAACCAGTGACATCCCCAAAATGGCAGGATTGGCTTCCCCTTATGCACACCAAAGCTTGAGGAATAGTCAAACTTGGCAGCCCAGCCTTATGACCTTGTACTTCTAGCCAAATTTGACCAATTAAGCCCATTAAACTAGCTTTCTGTCAAGTGATGGTCCATCCCATATACCACTTGTTATGGTTTACACCCAGAATGTTGCCCTTGTGCCTTGTGTGCTCAGAGGTGGGACTTCTATAAAGTAATTAGATCATGGAGGTGCTATAGCTGACCTGCAGTTAGAAGGTACGACCTATTTGGAAGAGGGGGTCCCTGGAGCACGACTTGGAAGGACTTCCGCCTCTCCAGGTCCTCTTTTTGCTGTTTTCTGGGTGCTATGACATCAGTAGCCCTTCTTCCTCCAGATTCTTCTACCATGCCCTGCTTGCCTTGAAGCTGGCCAGCTATGGACTAAATCCTTTAAAAAATGGGAACCAGTATCAACTTGTTCCCTTTTAATGTGTGGATGTTGAATATTGTATCTAAGTGATGAGAAAAGTGACAAAGTAACCCTGGTGGGATTTCTTCTTTCATAATAACTCTGAGGTAGCACTTAATATTACCCTTCTGTCAAGAATGTTCTTACCTCTGCTGTTCCAGCTCATCTGTGTTTCTATACTTCTTTCTCATGTCCTAGGTTAGAATGAGTAGCTTCCTCGGCATTCTCTTAGCCTAAGTTCTGTATTGGAAGCCCCTGGATTATAGCATACCTGGCAGTTATAGGGCCATGGTAGTCTTCTGAGAAAAATTATAAATCCTTTGGGGGTAGTGACCATTCCTTGCTTCTTCTCCCACCCTCCAGGATGCACTGAATCCAGAGAGACAAATGTGCATGACAACACAAGTAGTTGTTAACACTGGTGATTAATTCCATATATCGCCTTGATTGTGCCATGCAGTACCCTGAATAAATATTACTTCTGGCTATGTCTGTGAGATGTTTTTAAAGCAAAATTAGCGCTGTGATCTGTAGATTCACCCACTCTCCCCAACATGGGTGGGCATCATCTCATCAGTTGAGGGCATGAATCAAACAGAAAGCTATCCTCATTTTGGCCCTGGCAACTTGCTCAAGCTGGGCCAATGGAATTCTCCTAACTTTGGACTAAGATTTATATGTCAACTTCCCTAGCAACATACTCCCTTGATCTGATGTCACTAGCTTTTTTTGGCCTAGTTTTGTCACACTAATTGCTCAATAAATTCTAGCTGCTATTGTTATTGCTGCTGCTGTGGTTAATAAATGGACAAGAATACATTATAATGTGCAGGGTACCTCATAGCATACAAAATGCTAATTTTATTAAGCACAGTTTGCATGACATTGTTTAATAACTTATTTAACTTTCATAATAACTCTGAGATAGGACTTAATGCTACCTTTCATTTCATTGATATAGAAGCTGAGGAATGAGAGATTCAAAAGGAGATTTGCTTAAAGTAAAGTAGTTATTTTCACTTTTTAAAATTCTGAGGCAGGGTCTTGCTAAATTGCACAGGCTGGTCCTGGAAGTGATGCTCTGCCTGCTTCAGCCTCCCAAGTATGTGGGATTACACATGGCTATGGCTCTTGATCTTAATTGCTATCTTAGAGATTAAACTTGAGAAAAAATTATAATTATTTAATAAGTAGTTGAGTTTTTAATTTCTAATCAGTTGTTTCAATGCAAAGCAAATTAAGTATGCATGTATCTATGAAATTTTATTTGTCAATATATTTGATGATCTAATGAAAGGTCAGTTGCTGGTTTGAAGAATATGGCCCCTGAGATTATAGAGACCACATATAGAAGAACACAAGCAAATGAATGATCGGAATATGTAGTCATTTCTAAACTTAGACCCGGTCATTTTGTGAATGAATTAAGAGATGAATATGAGTATTTGGGGGTAGGGAAGAGGAGGTATGGAGACCATATAGCAATGCAGACTGATCAGAAATCCTTTTGATTTGGGCCAGGGAGATGGCTCAGTAGAAAAAGCTCTTGCTTGGCAAGCGCAAGGGCGTGAGTTCAATCCCTGGTTCCAACAACAACAAAAAAAGATAAATAAATAAATAAATACATCCTTTTGATCTACTGATCAACAAATCCCAAGAAGAACAGGTAGACCAGGCAAAAATGTCACTATATCACAGTCCCTCTCCTCCAGTGATATTGTAACTTCATGGGAACCATAGCCAGGTAGAATTTGATTCCAGTATAGGCTCTCAACCTCTAAAATTTACCTCCTTCTTATATAAGGAGAACTCCAGTGGTAGTTTCCTATGTACATCCAATATGTTCAAGAACTTAAACTGAGATCAGAGAGAATTTCCATCCCTATGACTCAAACTTACCAACATGTGTGAGGGACTGAAATTAAAAATGCAACAGCCAATGAAATGAAATATTCAGGAAACAGTCTCAAAATATCTGAAGAATTAAACACAACACATTTCATTTACTAATTATCATTGGAGAAAGGTATTGTGTGAATTGAATGCACAAATGACTAAAGAAATAATTGCAAGAGAGTAGATTTGAAGGCAACCAGGGTCCTCTCAAGCTGTAGCTACTTAAAAGCAAAGCACTGTATGCTGTGAGTTGCTACACAGAAAGCTCAAATATGAACTTTTGAAGCAATACCTTCCATACATGAGACCTTTTAAATGGCTGTGTTTTTAGGCAGTGTAAAGCAGTATATCTAAGACAAAGCAAAAGCAAAATAGTCTGCATTCTGGCACAATTCGTTTCTTACTACTACTTATTCACTTTATAAGTATTTATTACTGAAAGGGATGTGCGAAAGAGGCAAATGCTCTAGAGCCTCATCTCTGAGGGCATAAAGTGTGGGAGGTGAGGCACAGGGACAAGTCCAGGAAGATCTGCAGCTATACAACATTAGTGTGAGAAGGAAAGTGGGAGAGAGTTAGTTAAGCCCCTTGGAGGTGGATGATATAAAACAAGGCTTTCCAGACTCTGAGGGTCAAGATAAATCCTGCAAGGCAGGGAACAACTGGGGATTCTTATGAGGTAACTTACTAATTCAGCAAATGCTATGGTTTAGATCAAGTATGATTCCCGGAGGCCTCATGCACTCACAGGAGGGGCCTGTGGGAAGAGATGGGTTCATGAGGGCAATACACTCCTTAGTGACATCATCACTGGCGAGTCAGCAGCTGATTGTGCTGTTGGAAGGTGAGGACTGGCTAGAACTGGAAGGCCACTGGGGAGGGTGTATATCCCTCCCTGGTTCCTTCCTACAGACCCTGCTTCCTGGCCACCATGATGCATGTCACTTTTGCTCCATCAGACCTCTCTGCTATGCCGTCCCTTACTGGGAGGCACCTACTGCCCATAAGCCAAAAGAAACCATTCCTCCTTTAATTTGTGGGTGAAAAGAAAGTGTTTAACATGGGTTTTAGGCTGAGTCATTTATTATCTACAGGGCATAAAATGAATTCAAAAGGGGCCTTAAAGCCGGGGCCCACTAGAAGCTATTACAGCCCACTAGACTTGGGTGGTATGCATTGAAAGCAAGACTGTATTGCCTGGAATATAAAAGAAGGTGCATCTTAGGAGGTTATTTTGAAAAGAATTTTCAGGTTTGGAGTGGTACTTTGATTTCCTGAGAAGTAAATAAACTCCTAGACTTCAGATATGGAAGAGTAGAAATACATCAACCAGAAAAGAGGAAATTCCTGTGTGTGTATGAATTCAGTTGGAACATGATAAAAATGACTTAACGATGACATCGTCAA